TATGTTCTACTAAGAAGATTGTCTGTTTTGTAAATTACTACAAAATACATTACAATATATTTACGTAATATCAATATAATCGGTTAGTTAGGTTTCGTACATATATAATTTATTTTTATATTTTGTATTTTTCGTATTATATTCAGTACTGTATAAGTATCTGAAGTTTAATTTTACTTATTCTCCTTTTGGGTTACGACTTTAACTGAGGAAGAATTGCTAGGATGTTCATAGGGATTAAATTATATACAATCAGTTAGGATCCGACTTTTCCTTTCTTTTAATCATTATATATATTGAAATACTACTTGATAAGTATACATAAAATATAGCAGTTTTTTAAGCTACTTATTTATATATCTATTGTTTGGTCTGGTTTGTTTGATTATAGCAAAGCATTCGACGGTTATTTGCCTAAGGGTAAGGGTGCCTCGTGGAGAACTTTCTAAGCAAAACTGACTCTTATGCACGTTACACGTGGGGAAAACCTCGAAAACGCCAATACAGCCATCCCGTCGATCCGGATTCGAACCCCGGATCGACCTACCAGGTTTCGACGACTTTACCGCTCAGCCGCTAGTGAAGCCCCCTCACACATATACATTAATTTATATTTACATGTCATTTTTAAAGTATAATTGAGTGCAATTTATTCATAAAGAGTTAGAAAATATTCTACGGAATTATTTCGCTTTGTAGACTTTTTGTTAAGCTTCACCATATTTCTTAAAGAGAATCTCAATGCTAGTTCCATTTCCAAGCCGTTTATGTACCTTTATTTTTGTGCTTTGAATTACATTTAGAGAATTATTTTACCTGATTATGGCTGAAACTGCAGTTTTTTTAATGAAAAATTTAAGGATAAGGAGAGAATTAAGTCCTTTTCTAATTATTCTTGAAGCACTTAAATTTAAAAAAAGCGGCACATTAATACGGATCACTGAACTAAGGAGCTCGATAGAGGACAGATTAATTAGCTACTAAAGTTTGATTTTAATTGAGTAAAAATGAATTAATCTGCATTCTATAAGAAAGCAAATATTCAAAAAATATTTTTCTACTCACGCAGGCATAATATTTTTCTTAAATATTCAGATAATTCATATTCAGATATTCCAATCCATTATGATTAGTAATAAATCGATATAGTAAATAAATAATTAAAACCAATTAAATGGAATTTTAACTTCAAAACTTTTCGCCTCCTATATAATTTGTCTAAATTCTAGTATCATGTACATCCTTGTATACATTACTGACAATGGAACTCTGTAGCTCCATTCAAGTTTTTATTCCTGATATACTGATACTGAATGAGACCTAAAAACACTTTTCTTTTGTAATATATATATCCCCTTACGCAGCTGCTTATTTTCCCCTTCGTAATTAACGTCAAGGTCCCCCTCTTGACCGCATTCGAGACGCCACTCTGCAGTATCCGGCCCCAATTTCGCAAGATACAAAACGATATAAGGACTGAAACCCGCCTATTTAAGCAAGCGGAGTGGAAAATTTACATTGAGTTCTTGACGACTGAAAACAAATCGATTTGACGTGCAGCCGCCCGATTACGCAAACATCACAAACTCATTCAGCCCCTTGAAGCGGCCGATGGCCCACAGATGGCCTACACAGACTCAGAAAAGACTGAAGCTATCACTGACAGCCTTGCCACCCAATTCGCACCCAACAATGACTCCTACTGTAACCGCCCGGTTACACAGGGGCGAATCCATTCACAGGTTGAAGACTTTTTATCACAGCCTTCCACGCCTGAACTCAGGCCTACTGACCCAACTGAAGTCATGGTTTATATTGACAAAATTAAACCTGACAAGGCCCCCGTCATAGATACTATTTCGAACCGCATGATCAAAAAATCCCCATGATCAAATAAAATAATGTGTGATTCAGAAGTCAAACAACAAAAATCAGCGTTAATTCACAAAATTTTCACAGGACTAGTTTCGATGGTTTTACCGAACCATCATCTTCAGCTGCAAAACCGCAAATGAACAAGATAGGAAATAATGTTTAGATAAGATAAGAAAGCCTGGACAAGAATAAGCAAGTGGCGCTATCTGTTGGCGAAACCAGAACTAAAACATAATTTCTCTAAAAGCCGAAGGAAAATTTGGATTGGAATTAGGATCGTTAACTAGAACAGAAAGATTTTTATGAATGTGAAATGCCTCTAGAAAATCCAGTTCTCCAATCGAAGATGTTTTTTGAATAATTTTGGCAGCAGAAAAATTGAAAGTGTGATTTTCGGACCAACAATGTTGAGCAACAGAAGACTTCTGTGTTTCCTTTTTTCTAACATATGCCTCATGTTCTTTGACGCGAAATTTTAAGGCTCTCTTAGTTTGGCCAATGTAAATTAAACCGCACTGGCAAGGAATCCTATAAATACCCCAGGAATTCATATCCGGAATGGGGTCCTTGAGTATAGAAGTTGGAATTTTATTGATGGGAGAGTAAACAACCCTAAAGTTAAATTTCTGCAAAATATGTGCAACTTTATAGCTAATTGATGGAAAGAAGGGAATGACAACAGAATTTTTATAATCTCCTAAAATAAGAGTGTGGCTTTTAGTGTGTTGAGATGAGAATTTTTTAACTGCTTGATTAATAATGTTGGGTGAAAAGCCCCTGTCAATAGCTATTGCTTTTAAATAATTTAGTTCTTCATCAAGGGCTAGTTTGGAGGAGCAAACTTGAAGAGCACGGAAAACATAGGAATAAAATGAAGCTAACTTTTGTTTAGTCGGATGACATGATTTAAAGTGTGGTGGAAGGCAAACCGATGAAGGTTTACGGTAAACTGTAGTACTGAAGTTGGATGTGTTACTTAATCGCCTGAATGAATTCTGTCGAACTCAAAATTTAATCATACCCTAGCAATTAGGCTTTCGACCAAAACACTCCACTGTACACCAATTATTACGTGTAGTGGAATTCATTCATGAAGGCTTTCGTAAGCAAGAGAAAACTGGCATCGTCTATCTTGACATGGCCAAAGTCTTTGATAGGGTTTGGCATGACGGACTTATTTACAAGCTCATGCGGCTTAGTTTTCTGGCTCATTTCATTAAAATTTTTATTTCGTACTTGACCGGACGAAATTTCCGCCTACGAATTAACCTTGAATTCTCCACTCCCCGCCCGATCTATGCTGGATGTCCTCAGTGCAGTGTCATCGGGCCCTCAGTCTTCAATCTCTACGTTAATGACATTCCTAAGGCTCTTGCTATTGATCGAGTATTATATGCGGACGATACAGCCATCATCGCACAGCATTCCAACACCTCTACGGTAATCTATACCTTACAGAGTTACCTTTCAGCCTTAGAACTCTGGTTAGTTTTGTAAAATATCAAAATTAATGTCGAAAAATGTGCTGCCACTCTGTTCATCCGAAGAGATATCTCACGTTTAGATAACTTAATACTCTTCGATGAACCTATTCCCTGGGTTTCTTCATATAAATATCTTGGTGTTTTACTTGATTCTAAAGTAACCTGGCAAACTCACATTAAAAAAATTGCGAATGCGACGGCTGTTAAATCCAATCTGAGCCCCTTCTTCGCTTTAAATAGCGACCTGTCAACTGACAACAAGATTTTGCTCTACAAGCCTATCATCAGGCCTTTTCTGGCTTACGCATGCCCTATTTTGGGCCCTTCAGCGCTGACTAACAAAAAACATGTCCACATATTTCAATCAACAATGCTTCGGCAAATACTTAAAGCTCCTTGGTATATAGGGAGCGAAGAGATTCATAAGATCTCAAAATTATGCCCATCAATCACTTTATACAGCGACTTTCGGAAAACTTTTTCAAAAATATTCAACATGATGCGAATCCTGTGCTGCTTATGCTACCTGTTTATATCCTACAGTCGCTTAATCCAGGAAGAGACCGATATCAGTTCTCAACCCAGATTATGCTGCTAACCTATTCAAACGGGCAAGGTATGCTCACACAGATTCCCATGTGAATAATTACCTCTCGTTCCTTTCCTTTCCCGCCTAATGAGTCTTGAATGCTTAGGTCATTGACCGGAGGTACCCCTTTCTCGTTTCTTTAAGAAGAAGCTTCACAGTCGCATATGACTGCTTTTAACTTATTTAATCTAAAGTCAATCGACTCACTCTTTACTTTCAATAGATCTTTTAACCCTATTAAAAGCTACCGTAACTTGCTTTTAACACCCCACTAAGAGGTGTCAATCACTTGGCCTTTAAACACCGCAATGACTAGCGGGCGAAAAAGAAACTTCTCCCTCCGTCAGCTGACCACTGAACACAGCAACGTTTTCGACGCTTAAGCGCGACTCCCCTCCCATTCCTCATTTAGAAGCGCTCACAGAGCAAAGGCCATTGACTTTTCCTTACGGGCTCTTCGCTCTCCGCGTTGCTGATGTCGCATGATCAAGTATCAAGAAAACACCTGCTCTTATATTCTTATATTCTAGTCTAAATTCACGAATGATGACTGAGGTAAAGGCGTTTATGCCTATGAATTCCGTGGTATGAACTTCCTTGATCCTTGTCCACATCTGGAACTGCTCACTGAGTGATTACCACATGCGCTTGATCTAGTTGTGGCCTGTCGTCAGTGCTGCATCTTCCACTATGAAAATCCCTACACCATCGAAATACCGATCTGCGTTTCATACTCTCCATGTCATACAGAATTTGGATTCGACGATAGATTTCAGAAGTACTCGTATTTCCCACTGTTAAAAATTCACGACCGCGCGTTGACACGGTTTGGAGGAACCCATGATGCGAATGATGCCTTTTAACGTGCTCCGACGCACGCATCTGGCGGAATCTGATGATATCTCATGCTATCCCTGCACTCTGCGCTGTCTAATATCTTTCTGTACAAATGGTGTAGTTATAATAATGCCACTTTTATTGGAACGACCTTTATAGAATCGTCCGTTTCATATAGTTCTATAAGTAAATAAGTGTAACAAAATATGACTTACTTAAGCAAGTACTTTTGCGTCTACGGATCCTTCCTGACAAATGCAGACTTTTTCTTTCTCCATAAATGCACTGTTCCAACTACCGAATGTACAGTTCTTCCCTTTGCCGCAATTGCATGCTAGAAATGAATTGAATATTGACTACTTACTTTACACACGTTAATTTATATTTAAATTTACATAACATTGTTCATAAATATATTATGCAAGTTTTTTATATAATTTTTATGCAAAAAAAGCAAAATGTTTGCTTAATAAAAGTATTACCAATTCCAGTAAATTTTACTTTGGCAAATTCTCCGTAACTGTGCGAAATACCGGCTAGATCAGTCTTTCTGAACTGTCATTCGGACACTTACTTAAAAATGCAGTTTCCGGGATATATATTTTAAGGGATTAGAAAGAGAAAATTGTTTTCCTTGTTGTCTCTATGATGACGCCTAGTGAAGATCCCTATTTTTAGCTACTGAGTAAGAATGGCCGGATAATTAAACATGTGTGCAGATGTCAATTCTGTGTGAAGGCAGTTATCACAGAGTCTGTAGGATTTCTTATCCCTCTCTCAATTTTCAATCTTCTGTGATAGCTAGTTTTAAGCCTGTCTATGATTTTAGTCGTAGGTCAATGTTATGAGCTGGCGCTTTATTGGAACTGAATGATCTTTCAGTCTGCATTTGAATAAGGTATTTGATTCCGAGAGGGTGACATTTACGTTATTATTATTGTTGAGATTTAGATTCTCTGTTGCCAGTTTATTTGCGTTCTCTTTACCTATGCTGCTGACATACGCTGGTAACCATTGAAGAATGCAGATTTACTATTTAAACCATGTTTACGGGAATGTCGATTCTGTTGGTGATCAAAATGCTTCATGCAGGATTGGCAGTAGACCTGCCTTTGAAGCGAAAAAGTCCGCAAGTCCTTTTGCTTGTTGAGAAATGAGAAAGAAACTTTCTACTTTCTACAAGACATTCCTGGAAGCTTCAGCCCAAACGGGAGGCTATCACCTTGTAGGAATCACTTGCTTATCTTCTAAATGACACTGTAACGTAAGTTCTTGTAGGACTACACAGGAGAAGGGTTAAAAAAACCCTTTATTAAACTCTATAAAATTGACTCTGCGTCGCCTTGACGCTAACACACTACGCCTTACTTCGTCAGTAACTTAAATTACAGAAACGGAAATAGCAGAAGTAAACTAAAAATTCAAAGATATTCACAAGAAGTAGAAATTAAGCTACAGGGCTCAGATACTCCTGTTTCTTAAATCTGTGTCGAAACTAGTGACCACGTAAACCAGCGTTAATTCCAGGAGTAGAAGCTCACGCAAGAGGGGTGACGGCTATATCTTAACTCTCTCTAACGTTTCTTCTGAAACCCGATATCACTGGCGTAGTGGGGGGGGGCAAAGGGGGCATCTGCTTCACGCGGCACTTCGATAGGGGCGGCAGATTCCCTATCGTTGAATAAATACTAAGGAGATTAGAGGAAATTCAACTCTGCGAAGCAATGAAGCCGAAAAATTCCGCAACAATACGCAGTGCGGGCAACTACCATGCTTTAACTGTAAAAGGAGTCATCCTATCTAAGTATCCGTATTTAACGTTTCCATTTGTGTTTACTCTAGCATTTGTACTTCCTAAATTCTATCCCTTTTTTCATTAGAAAAAGAGGAAAATGACACTGCATAGCTTATTGTAAGCGTATCTTGAAATTCATTCTTCACTGAGTGACAATCCCTCAAAAATTTGTTGCATCCAGGATGTAAGATGTATAAAATGTCATCTCGATCTTTGAGATCGAGATTTCTTACTCGAGGCTGCGAAAATTGGTTGCATCCAGGATGTAGGATGTATAAAATGTCATCTCGATCTTTGAGATCGAGATTTCTTACTCGAGGCTGCGAAAATTCGTAGAGAGTCAGTAATTATTACTTTTCGTTTTTTAGATGCACTACGAATAGACTTAAAACCAAAATAAAATATGTGGCTCTACAGAAACATTACGTTATTTTGAAGGCGACAGATATGTCAGTAAGTGGTAAAAAAATTTCTTAAAAAACAAGCACATACACTAGGGAGAAAAGTTCTTTTTAAGCTGAACTAAATCATCAAAATAAAAAAAAACAATAATTGTTCTTTCCGACAAGATTCAGTTAGTTAAATTCTTATAGTGTTAGTGTTTGAAAGTTGTTTTTAAAAAGCAACTATCAAGCACGGAGAAATTTTTACAAAGACAGTTTTTATTTTAAACAAAAAATGTTACAGGATGCTTTTTGAATACACTCTATGTGTGCATTTGGGAGGGGAAGGTAGGAGCGATATTTCGTTTTTGAGTATCAACTAATTAGTAGGTGAGATGAAAGAAAAGCAGATTTACCCTTTGGGTATATTTTCCAATTGCCTGGGAATGTGAACGAAGAGGGGGTCAGAGATAGCCAAACAGCGTCCCTTTGCTTAATGAATGACGAATACGGACGATACCCCTACACAAAGCACGAGGACAATTTGATTAAACATGTAGGAATAGTCTTACGGTGGTGCTGGTGGAATACAGCAATAAATTACATAATGTAAATCATGTAAAGATAGTTTGATGTCACCGTAAACTGTTACCGTCCAGTTTTTTCCCGGAAGAGAAGACGTGGGAATCAGAAAGAAAATAATTAAACACAGTGCAAGAAAATAGTGATTCTGTTTTCTGCTGAAAGCCCAACACAGCTTTGCATTTACATCTGAGTTCTACTAGCCGTATTTATTTCTAACAAAATCAGAGAACTCATTCTAAAATTTCAGGTAAGTCTTGTTAAATCTTTTAAATTATTTAACAATAAAATATAAAATGAATATGTAGAGAAAATATATTGGAATTAATTGCCATTTTTTTTCATATAAGTCTTTTAATACTTATTTTGTAGTACGAAATAATTTAATTTTAAAAATATATAATGGTTTTTACATTTCTAAATTCATCATATCGCGAGTATTTTCTGAATCTTGCTTTTTAAGATTTATTGATTAATGAATATAATGGTTATAATAATTAAATAACTGTAGCACTAAAGAGTAACATTTTAACGTGTTTTTAGCACTGAATGGACACTTGAATATGTAATCTTCCATTTTTAATTTTTCAGTTTATTAACTAGGTTTTAAGAAAATTCTAAGGGAATCTTACTAATGAATAATATTAATAACACCGATCAAGTCATAATAATAATTTAAATTTTCTTGTAATAGCATCGAAAAATGAAAAGAGTAAGAGAAAGTGGGGCTTCGTATCGAAAAAAAAGAAAAGCCAAGGAAGAATAAAAAAATGAAGGGGCTATGCTAAAATATGTGAAAGTTCCTATTTCCAACACGGCAGACTCATCCACTTCGGATGTCAATTCTTCCGATACTATTGCTGATACAGTAGACTCTGGATTATCCGCGCCTGCCGCACAGTTTTTTTTTTTTTATATTATTTTTATTTTTATTTTTTTTTATTTTTATTTTTACAAGCGTAAAGCAAAGAAAATAAAAATGTTCACAAAACTGAGCGAAACGTTAAATTTCCTAACATCGTGCTTATTTATAGCAAAGATATCCCAGGCCTTCTCGGAACCTTTCCCTCTGATGAGTAAGTGATTTAGTAGTAGTGCCCGCTCCACCAACGAAAGAAGGTTATGTTGACGGTTGCACAAAAACTAGAATTAATTTCCAAAGTAGCAAACGGCGCTACAAGGCAGCAGATGGAATTGGATTACGGAATCGCGGAAACAACAGTGCGTGACATTCTAATACAAAAAGACAAACTGGTGAACTTTGCATCAATGTCGAACAGTGCTTCCGCAATGAAAACGCGAAAACTATGAAGGGTTCTACCTTTCATAGTTTTTTGTTTTGAAAGCTACAAAAATCCCATTTGAGTGTGAATTGTAGATCAAAACTAAATCCGTGTACAAAATGTAATTTTAATAATAATCACGAAAGCATTTGTTTCAAGAAAATAAATTTACAAACCGAAAATTCCCCTAAGGAAAGTGTTAATATAAGAGAAAATGACAGTAAATACCGAACCACAATTTCGTCTGTATCAAATTGAAAGCAAGAGAAAGAATCAAATTCAATTCTATTACAAATAGGCCCGAGAGAATTTTAAAAAAATATAAATCGAAAATCATCAGGGTATTATTTGAAAATGCTTCACTGCGTTTCTTTATCGTGAATTTATTTAACCGATGAGTTAAATCTTCGAATTATAATGAAAGGGAATTTAATTGTTTACACATTTTGAAATGCGATCCAGAGTAAAAATTCTTAGGAGAAACAAGAATCCATTTACAAAAGTGTAATCAATCTAATAAGAGAATAGAAGTAGACTTAACCAGATATGGAAAGGGATTAATCACCCTGATATAAAGGAATATTTTTCATCCAATCAGATCAAATGGAAATACATCCTTGAAAGAAAAACATGGTCGGGTGGATTTTTGGAAAGGATGTTTAGATCAGTAAAAACAAAATTTAGGAAAGCAGTTGCAAGATCTTCATTGGCTGTAAAAGAAATAGGGAAAGTTCTAATCGAAACTGAGGGAATCATAAAGTAGAGAACTTTAAGATGCACAGTTAACGCATCTAACACAGCTTCTCTTAACGCCTACACATCTCTTACTTAGCAGAAGGCTCTTATGTTGACGGTACGTAAAAATCAGTAATTCAGACTTTTCAAACAAGGATATGTTATTGAAACGTTTTAATTACAGAGAAAACGTACTAATTTTATTCTGAAGGGGATGGAGAAGTGAAAATTTTGTGAACCTGCGATCAGTGGACACAGTGAGGAGCTCGAAAGAAGGCCGAAATTTCAAAATGAATGATCTGGTGCTGATAAACGATGAAATTTGTCATGAACATCTGAAAAATATTTAAAATCACTGAAGGTTTCCCCCGCCGTGACAGTCAGATGAAAGCTTAGAGTATTAAAACTAAAGATGGAATAATGCGGAACCCAGTTCAACTCCTGTACCCACTTGCAAATGCAAGGCATACTTTCTTTAGTTTTGTGCATAAAAAAGGACTGACTAAATTAACAGACTTTAAGTGTCCCTCTTATGTTAATTTGTTTGTGAGTTTAT